AGCTTCACTCTATGGAGGGGAGTTTAATCATCAGATCTCTTACACAGTATCTCTCAAAGTCACTTCTTTTGCCTCGTGTCGCCATTTTTGTCCTCTTGTGCTACTGCTACTGCACAAGAGGATAGTAATTATAAACATTAGCTTTTTCATTGCTGTTTTCCGGTATTCCTTCTTCCCTGGGCAGTGTTAATGTTTCCTTTCATTACTATTTCCTGTGTTATTCTCGTGCTAATGTATGTGGCTCTGAGAAGCTGAAGGGGACCAAAGTAATTCCTGAGAGCCTCAAGAAACTGAGGGTTCAGGCAGCCTCTGGCCACTTCACACTTGTTTATAGGATCTGTAGTAAGAAACCCCTGGAGTACTTGTGGCCACAGGGACAAAACTTCTTTGTTGACTGAAGAAATGAGATAATTGAGTTTTTAATGACTCCAGCATGAAGTGGGGGAGGAAAAAAAGGAGACATAGATAAAGAAAACGAAGTAGAACGAGCAAAGAGTAACAAGTCGATGTGGGCTTTCAGGTGGTGTTAGATGACAGCGACAGCACGGTCGGTGTTACCTGCTCTGATGGTTCCCAGCATGCAGAGTGCAGCAACCTTCTCTCTTGTCTGAGCTCTGCTGGTGCAGAGTGTGCCTTTGTGGTGGTTCAGGAAGCACTGGCGAGGAGGCGAAGAGCAACACAGGTGAGAATTTCTGCCACAGGCTCAGCTGCTAATGCCTCACATAGGCTGAAACCTTTCCATTCACTCAGACACTTTATTTCTAGCCATCCCACTCTTAGTACCGTATTGCCTTGCCAGTCTCACCAGCTCTACATTCTACTGCTTTTCTTTCCTTGATCTCCACCCCCTCATCACTGTTTTTGCCTTCAGGTGAGCTGTCTGTGTGCTTGATGATTCTCCCAGCTATCTGGAGACATCTTTCCCACTCCTCATTGCTTGTTTGTGCTCTTTCCCTGCCCGCTCCTTGCAGGCCCTAAAAGAAGAGCTTTCTGCCAGGCAGGACTCTATCAGTTTGCTGCAGCACCAGCACAGGCAGCAGGAAGAGAAGTGCAGGAAGCTGCAGCAAAGGCTTGAGCAACTGGAAGAGGAATGTAAGATGTCCAGCAGCCACCAGCAGCACCTCCAGTCTCTGGTAGAAGCACTCAGAAGGTGAGTGTTTCTTCCTTTTCCTGCATTCTAGATGCCATCTGCTTCCAGTTTTGGGAGTTCAGAGGCGTTATGGGCAAAGAACTCGCCTGTTCACCACGTGTGTGCCTCTGGCACTTTAGCGTCCTCCTGTCACTGCTTTTCATGCTCTACTGTGAATCCTAAGGCTTTCTTGGACATTCAGAGTAATGTTGGAAGACAAGATGCCTCCCTTTTGACATGCTGTGTCTCTGCAGACGGAATGCCCTTTCCTAACCACTGCTTCTCACCAAGCAAAGGCAAAAGCCTGCCTTCCTCTTTCCCTGGGGTTACTTCATGAGGGAAAGAGCATGTTCTTCCTTACCATGCTCCCCACAACTCCATCCTGGAATGATGAAAATGAGATCCATGACTCTTCAGGCCTCTTAATTCTTCTGACTGACTCTTGTCTCTGCAGTGACTGTGCAAACCTCGAGAAAACCAGGGAAGAGCTACAGCAGCAGCTTGAAGCAACAGAGCGCGAAGCCTCGTGTCTGCGTCAAACTAACACTGAACTGCAGCTGAAGGAAGATTCAGCCCAGGGGGAAAAGATGGAGCAGCAGGAGAGGATGGAGAGAGTGCGTCGTGACCAGGAGCTCCTGTGAGCGTTAAAGCTTTCTCTGGGCAGGGGTGGGTGTTGCTGGACTTGAGGAGCCCAGCATAAAAGAGTTAATTTTACATGCTTGTCATTTGTAGCATAGGTGAAGGGAGCACGTGGGCAGGTCTGGCTGCCTCCTGACATAGAGCATGGCTGCCTCCTTGTACCTTCGTTATCACCCGTTAAAAAAATCAACTCCAAACCTGACAGAGTAGTTGATGACAAGCATAAGCTGAAACGAGAGATGTTCTGACTGGATTTAAGGAGAACAAAAAGTCATGCAGCAGAACAGGTTACTCAGAGAGCTTATGCAGATTCCATCCCTGGAAATTTGGAAGACCCGGCTGGATAGAGCCTTGAGCAACCTGGACTGATCCCAAAGCTGACCCCAGCTGCTTTGAGCTGAAGATTGTGCTAGAGGCCTCCTGGGGTCCCTGCCAGCCTGAATCATCCTGTCATCCTATGGTTATTTGATTGGAAATCCATATGCATCTCCTCCCCAAATAGATTGCAGGCTCTTTCATTGTTTCACTGCTGAAGGCAAGAGTAATTGTGGCAGTATTAATCTGGACTTAAAAAGTCTATGTTACCTCAAGAACTTGTATCCCATGTATCAAAAAGGAGGGAGAGAGGACTAAGATGCAGGAAGCTGTTGAGAGCACCTGAACTTTTTGGAAAGGTTCTGTGATTTCTGGAAGCTTGTTTTACTTTCTCAGTGCTGAATGTATCGCCTCCATCAAGGACAAAGGGTGAGGCAGCTCTAGTCAAGAAACACCAGCGTTCTTGAGATGTAAATAGCCATTGGAAATCACCCCAGCTGCCATTTCTGGGATATAGGATGTGCTCTTGGGTTTGGAAACGAGAATGTTTTTACATTCAAAATTGTTTCTCTCTCCCCTTCTCATAGACTGAAGGACTTGGCGGCACTTGAAGAAAAACAGTCCTTATTACAGCATGAGTTTGTAGTTGCGAGAGAGATGCTGGAGGAATCACATCTTCAGAGGGATCTGCTGAAGCAAGAGAACCATGAGCTGGCCGTGGCCCTGGAGAAGGTACGGTCACCTTGTGATAGCAAGGCCAGCACAGATGCTGTTTCTGTCAATAAAAGACAGGGAACATGCTGTTCTCCTTCTTGGAAAATAGTGATGAGACCAGGCGGGTCTTTGGGGCAGTCAGTCCCTATGTGCTGATTTGGAGTGCTGAACTGGGAGTGTGTCAGAGACACGCAGGGGATGGGGAGTTGCTGCTCGAAGGCAGGGATTTCCCTGCCTTTGTTGTCACTTTGTTCTTCTGTCTCTTCAGGCAGAGCAGTCCGTGGCAGAGCTGACAGGGGCTCAGAACAAGCTGAGAGCTGAAATAGCTGATCTACGTGTTGCAACAGCGAACATGAGCGGTATCAATGAGGCTCTTGCTTTGGATAAAGTGGAACTGAACAAACTTGTGCTGCAGGTGAGCAGAGTTGCCAAAGATCTTGGCAGGTGTTTGTCTCCAGCTGCTGCTGCTTCCCAGACTTCTTGCCTCCCAAAAGTGTGACTGACTGAGTATGGAAATGTTCCTTTTTCTGTCCAAGCCAAACCTTCTTCATTGTAAATCTTACCATATTTTGTTTCCTCTGTGCTTCCTTGGTGGCAGCTGGAGCAAGAGAATGAAGCTCTGTTGGGTAAAGTGGAGGAGATGGAGAGAGCAAAGGTCTCTGCCCAGGAGAAGCTGAGCTTGCATGAAAGAACAAATGGAGAGCTCTGTGCAGAGAAAGCCCACCTGGAGCAGCTGCTGAAGGAAGCAGAGGAGCAACAAGAGGGGCTGCGGGCAGCGCTGAGGATCCTGGCAGAGGAGAAGGAAGAAACCCAAGAGAAACTCATCCAGGTGAGACTGAAACCTGGTGCTTCTGGGTGGGCATTTAGCTGCTTGGCTTGGTGAAGCTGTGTCTGTGATGGCTTCTTTTTTGGCTTTGATAAGCTGCTGAGGGAGGATTGTGTTGTCCGTGAATCTGAGTGGGGCTACTACTCTCTCATGTGGCAAAAGAAACAAACTGTGTAGCTCTGAATGTTTTTTCTGACACAAAAATCAGGGCTGCATGTTTCTATTTATGCTTTTTGTTGCGAAGTCTGCAACTTCCAAAACTCCATTTGTTTGAGAGTGGGACAAAGCTGCAAGTCGATGTATTTTGTCTTGTGTGGCTAAGAATGGGAATGACATCTTGAAGTTGTTGAAATTTGTGTTTTAAGACATACATGCAACTTTGGCTGGAGAGCTGCCCAGCAGAAAAGGACCTGGGAGCATTGGTCAACAGCAGATGAATATGAGCCAGCAGCGTGCCCAGGTGTCCAAGAAGGCCAACAGCATCCTGGCCTGTGTCAGGAGCAGTGTGGCCAGCAGGACTGGGGCAGTGACCATCCCCCTGTACTGGGCACTGGTGAGGCCTCACCTTGAGTACTGTGTCCAGTTTTGGGCCCCTTATGACAAGAAAGACATTGAGGTGCTGGAGCGGGTCCAGAGAAGGGCAATGGAGCTGGTGAGGGGTCTGGAGCACAAGTCTTGTGAGGAACAACTGAGGGAGCTGGGGGTGTTCAGCCTGGAGAAAAGGAGGCTGAGGGGAGACCTTCTCGCTCTCTCCAACTCCCTGAAAGGAGGGTGTAGCCAGGGGGGGTCGGTCTCTTCTCCCAAGGAACAGGCGATGGGACAAGAGGAAGTGGCCTCAGGTTGTATCAGGGGAGGTTTAGATGGATATTAGGAAATAGTGCTTCACTGAAAGGGTTGTCAAGCCTTGGAATGGGCTTCCCAGGGCAGTGGTGGAATCACTATCCCTGGAGAGATTTAAAAGACATGTAGGTGTAGCACCTGGGGACATGGTTTGGTGGTGGACTTGTTAGTGTTAGGTTTACAGTTGGAATCAATGATCTTAAAGGTCTTTTCCAACGTAAATGATTCTATGAGTGTAATATTCTGTGAATTGTTAGAGCCTCTTCAGGGTTTGAGGAAGAAGAGGAGAAGTAGGTGATAGCACAAGACTCTTCACTATGGATTGACTGATTTTGGTTCCCTGGAAAAAGAACTTGTGAGAATCATGTCACTGGAGGAGATTAGGGAGTTTGTCATCATTTAGATGTCAGATCCATATTGTACAGTCTCAGGTGTTACAGGATAACTTTGAGAGAATTGTTTGTTTCTGATGGTCTGTTCTCTGTTTGATACTCTTAGTTTTGGAGTTGGTGCTTTGTGTGGCACACATTTGGCAGAGGTGTTATACGAAAAAAACCTAAAAGATCATGGTTAATCTTCAAGTTCAAATACCAGCAGGGGATATGAGACAACTTCTTTTTTAAGACAAGGAAAAGGTATTGTTGACCTGAACTACTGTACAAAGAGATTGTAGCATCTCTTTGGCCACATCAGCCAGACTTTCAGGTACTGCTAGATGACACTGCTCAGTGCAGGGGCTGTTTCCCTGCCAAGTGTCACCTCATTGCATCCAACTGCTTTACACACTGAAGTAGGTGACACTTTGATTTTTTTTATTTTTTTTATTTTTTTTTCTAGAAGGAGAAACCATGTGTATTTTCCCATTCTTCAGCGAGTAAAGTTGCATTTGCTCAACCTTTCCTGACTATTTCCAGCACTGGAATAGATTCTGATAGAATTTTCAACTGCAAGTTCTGGAAAATGCAGTATTTTTGCATGGAAACACGTGGTCTGGGTTATGTATGTTTGTCGTGAAGGAGCTGACTGATCCCTGGCAACCAGTAGGCCCCTCCACGTTGCTTTCAATTTGACAGTGCCAGTGCTTTTTGGCAGCCCGGGGTGGTATTAATGCGATGTACAGCAGATGCTCTTAAGCTGTCACCCACAGTACGGAAGCTCTTTCTCCTCGACTGGTTCAGGAGTGTCCCTGACTGGCTCTCCATACAGCTCCAGAGAAAGGACTCTCCCTGCATTTTTTTAACTTGCCCTAGCTTCAACAAGGGCAAGTGCCAGGTCCTGCACTTGGGCCACAATAACCCCATGCAGCGCTACAGGCTGGGGGAAGTGTGGCTGGAGCTGCCTGGAGGAAAGAGACCTGGGGGTTCTAATTGACAAACGGCTGAATATGAGCCGGCCGTGTGCCCAGGGGGGCAAGAAAGCCAATGGCATCCTGGCTTGTATCAAAAATAGTGTGACCAGCAGAAGTAGGGAGGTGATTGTGCCCCTGTACTCGGCACTGGGGAGGCCACACCTCGAGTGTTGTGTCCAGTTTTGGGCACCTCAATACAAGAGAGATCTGGAGGTGCTGGAGCGAGTGCAGAGGAGGCAACGAAGTTGGTGAGGGGGCTGGAGAATAAATCGTATGAGGAGCAGCTGAGGGAGTTGGGGCTGTTTAGTGTGAGGAAGAGGAGGCTGAAGGGAGACCTCATCGCTCTCTACAACTTCGTGAAAGGACACCGTAGAGAGGTTGGTGCTGGTCTCTTCTCACAGGTAATTAGTGACAGAACGAGAGGGAACGGCTTCAAGCTCCAACAGGGGAGGTTTAGACTGAACATTAGGAAGGAATTTTTCACCCAAAGAGTGGTCGGGCATTGGAACAGGCTGCCCAGGGAGGGGGTGGAGTCCCCATCCCTGGCTGTGTTTAAGGGCCGTTTAGATGCAGTGCTGAGGGACATGGTGTAGGGGAGGACTTTGTAGAGTAGGGGAGATGGTTGGACTCGATGATCCCAAGGGTCTCTTCCAACAAGACGATTCTATGATTCTATGATTTTGTCCTGCTTTCAGGTTCACCAGCAGGAAGAGTACGCTCGCAGTGGCCTGGAGCAGTTGTGCCAGGAGTCCTCTGGCCAAGGGCAGGCACTGGCCGAGGTGTCCGCAGAGAAGGAATTGCTGGTGCGGGAGAAGGCTGCCCTGGAGGTGCGACTGGCAGCCGTGGAGCGGGACAGAGAAGGGCTTTCCGAGCAGCTGGCAGAGGCCAGGTAAGGGCAGGGAGGAGACCCTGGGCAGGGCAGTATTTGATGTCTGTGATGATAAAGGTGGTCATCGTTGCACCAGGATTGCATCCTGTGTGCCTTCAACTTCCATGGCCAGAAGAACTTGGCTCTGAGTTGAGCCATAATTAAACCATGGAGACATTTACTGAATCCTGAAGTTTCTCTCTAGTCTTGGATTGTTTTTCTGTGCCTCTAACATCGGTCTTGCTTTATCCAGTAGTTTGACACAGCATCTTCAGAATTGGAGGCTGCTGCTTGTGGACGTGTGAGCAGGACGCTGCCCTTCAGGGTGAAGCCAGAGGCTCACGCAGAAAATCTGGAGGGGCTTCTGTTTCTAATTGAAAGCATGTTAAGTGTGGTGCAGGACCTAGAGCTGGTGGCACCAGGAGCAGGGAAACCTCTCTGGAATTCTGGCCAGTCTTCAGGGCTTCTTGCCCATCGCTGATGTCAGTTAAAATGGAGGGTATTTACTTTGGAGGGCCAGAGACCAGTGTAATCAGAACCAAGGGCTTGTTCTCCTCTTTGAAGATACAGCCTCCATTGTCCATCCCAGTTTTTCTTGCTGGCACAGATGGTATGGGTGCAGCTCCCCATGTACCAGGGTTCAGACAGCAGTAATTTCAATGTGGTAATTGCCATCCCCTTGGGCTGGGCTCTCTGTGCTCTGCCAGGTGATAAGGGAAGCCTGGCCATTCCCTCAGAGGGGGCTGCGTTGCTATTTGAAATGGCAGAAATGGGTTTTCGAGCAGGGAAACCTCTCTGGAATTCTGGCCAGTCTTCAGGGCTTCTTGCCCATCGCTGATGTCAGTTAAAATGGAGGGTATTTACTTTGGAGGGCCAGAGACCAGTGTAATCAGAACCAAGGGCTTGTTCTCCTCTTTGAAGATACAGCCTCCATTGTCCATCCCAGTTTTTCTTGCTGGCACAGATGGTATGGGTGCAGCTCCCCATGTACCAGGGTTCAGACAGCAGTAATTTCAATGTGGTAATTGCCATCCCCTTGGGCTGGGCTCTCTGTGCTCTGCCAGGTGATAAGGGAAGCCTGGGCATTCCCTCAGAGGGGCCCCCATTGCTATTTGAAATGGCAGAAATGGGTTTTCTGTGTATGAGTTTCCACACAACCCCTTTTCCGTAGGCAGGGGTAGGGATCTTGAACCACTTCTAAGTGGAACAACTCCCTGTGGGTGTCAGAAGCAAACAACTCCTTTCTCTCTGTGTTCACCATTTGCAGGACAGTGAAGGAGACCCTGGAATCCAGCCTGTTTGAGGCTCAGCAGCACTTATCTCAGCTGGAGATCTCCAGGAGTCATCTTGAAATCCAGCTTCACACAGTCACGCAAGCCAAGGAGGTGATACAAGGTGAGACCCTCATGGTTCTGGTGATGCCCCTGACCAGGGAAGGTGGTATAAAACTGTCATCCCAAATCTGGGTTCTTTACCTGGTGTGCAAGCCAGTAATATGCAGAGCAGAGGGATTTCCAAGTTTATTCCATTAATGCGCAGAAAAGGGGTGCTCTTCCCAAGGGGAGCACACCTTAGTATCAAAAATGTCCCTTTTTATACGCTGTTTATTTCATATTATAACGATTAATACATTCATTGTTATTCTCTTTAATGATTGGTCAAGATTTCTTTGCTTCCTATGTAAATTAGTGCACAGACTCTTGTTTTCTTCTTGCATTATTCTCTTTTGAGTAGGTGGTATGTTGGGAGGTGGTCGATGAGTCGGTGATCTCCCCCTGCCAAAATTCCCTTTTGCCTACTTCTCCTCTAATCTTGGCAGTTCCAGGTGGTTTTCTCAGTTTGCTGACCAGGCTGACAGTTCATCACTCTCTTGACAGAAATATCCTGCTTATCAACCTATTTCTCTATAAATGATCAAATAGGTTTGAGGCCACATAGAGGACTCTGGGCAGCAGCGGCAGATTCCCTTGGATGCTTCGATTACACGTAACATTTCATTTTTCTAGTTAATATCAATTTTACTACAATAAAACCAGCTCTCTTGTCTGCAGAGCTTCTGGGGAGTGAAGGAGCTGGAGACAGATCCCTCCTACACTGAAATTCAATGGGTGTTTGTGCTGACTCTGAATCTCGCCGTTTGTCATGTTTGCAGGGGAAGTGAAGTGCCTTCAATGGGAGCTGGAAGCAGAGAGATCTCTCCTGAAGCAGGAGCAGGAAGACATGGTGCAGCAGCTCCTGCAAAAAGAACAGCAGCACGACGACACCCTCAGGCTTCAGGAGACCCATCACAAAGTGGAGATAAACAAGCTTCTGCAAGAGCTGGTAGGAAACAAGATGCTTCTGACTCCTTCAGGCCAGTGTTGTAGGCTGGCTTTAGGAGAACAGCCTGAGCCTGTGAATGGCAGCCATTGTCTGTCACAGGCTACGTGGCACCAGGACAGGCAGCAGAGCACGTGGCTCCTCCTTAAAGGCCTGTGAAGAGCCAGAGAACTCTGCTGAGACAGTAAATGCAGCCCCAGGTTGTGTGTGGGCATAAGATGAGTTGGACAGAAGGCTGAGTGGTCCCACCCAAAGCACGGCAGCAAAGGGGTAGGCTCTGACCAGAATCCCGCCTGCCATGGAGGAGACTCTGAGCATCGCTGCCAGCTGCCCTCACAGGGACTTTGTTCCTTTCTGCCTGTCCTTTGGCAGCTGACAGAGGTTTTGAAGCAGACAGAACAGGCCCATTGTCCCTGGTACCCAAGGTGGTGGCCTGTCTTGTGATGAGGGCATGAGGGTATGGTTTCTTTCTGACCCTGCTATCTGTCTGCACCTTTTCATTGCTGAAAAGGGAGCTGAACTGTAAAAATAGACTCTGAAACCAGAGAGAAATGCTGAGGGGAGAGGTGCTGGGAAACAGGCAGCCATCACAGAGGGGAAGGTGACATCTTCTATTCCACCTACTGATCCTCCTTGGAAGTTCCTTAGTAGGACATGCTTTATTGGGGGCAGAAAGCCACTGCTGTGTCCTGTTTAGGAGGGGGGTTGCAGGAGAGATGAAGTGTCATGTTGTTTTGAGGAGCTTGGCTTGAGACATCATAGAATAGTTTGGGTTGGTAGGGACCTTTAAGATCACCTAATTCCAACCCCCTGCCCTGGGCAGGGACACCTCCCACCAGACCAGGCTGCTCCAAGCCCCATCCAACCTGGCCTTGAACCCCTCCAGGGATGGGGCAGCCACAGCTTCTCTGGGCAACCTGGGCCAGGCTCTCACCACCCTCACACCAAACAAGTTCTTCCTGAGATCTCCTCTCAATCTCCCCTCTTTCAGTGTCAAACCCTTCCCCCTCACCCTATGGCTCCCCTCCCTGATCAAGAGTCCCTCCCCATCTCTCCTGGAGCCCCTTGAGGGACTGGAAGGGGCTCTAAGGTCTCCCTGGAGCTTTCTCTTCTCCAGGCTGAAACCCCCCCCCAGCTCTCTCAGCCTGTCCTCCCAGCAGAGGGGCTCCAGCCCCCCCAGCATCTCTGTGGCCTCCTCTGGCCCTGCTCCAAGAGGTCTATGTCCTTCTCATGCTGAGGGCTCTAGAGCTGGATGCATTTCAGGGGGGGTCTTCCCAGAGCAGAGGGGTGGGATTCCCTGCCTTGCTCTGCTGGCCACGCTGCTGGGGATACAGCCCAGGATGTGGGGGGCTTTTTGGGCTGCAAGCTTCATCTTGAAGTCTTTTTCTCCACTCGTCAGGCAAGTGAGCGGGAAGGGCACCATTCAGAGCTGCAGGTGATGCTGGAGCAATGGGAAAAAGAGAAGGCAGAGACAGAAGGTGAGCATGAGAAGAAATTGCTTGATATGAAGCAGGAAGTTGCTACCATGCAAGCTGAACAAGAAGAGCAAAGAACAAGAATGGAAAATGCCAAGCAAGAGGTAAAGACTGTGAAAGAAGAATTTGTGTGGTTTTTTGCAAGGCTAGAGCTGTGGGAGATGGCTGGATATCAGGCTGTGTGGAGCATCCCCTGTGTGTTTTCTACATTGAATTTGGTGAGACAAAAGGGGAGCAAGGCTGTCCGTGGGACTAGGAATAAGACCCCTCATAGGAAGCCCGGGAAAAACGTCACCTTTCACTTGAGGTTCTTGTGCTGCTGTTGTGTTCTGGTTTTTTTTTTTAAGACTTGCCTCAGAGTATCTTCACAGTTCTCTTAATGGCCCTCCTTTGATATTTACTGATAAGTGCTTATAGTCTTAACTACTTTTTAAGTCCAAACTGAATTTGTGGGGCTGAATCCCCATGAGGATGGGATTTTTGTTTGAGAGGGACAGAGGATTGTGTCAGGATTGTTGAGAAAAGGGAAAAAAAAATAAAGACTCTTCTGAAATATTTCTGAGTGGCAAATCAGAGGTGTTGTCTGGGCTGTGTTTTAAGTCACTTGCTGGTAAGCTATTTTGTGCCCAGATCTCCTGTGCCAAAGCAACCCTGTCACACACTGAGAGACCTTGTGTCCTAGCCAAAGTCCTCTTTGTGCAGACTGCTGAGGGACAGTTAAGTTACCCAACATAACGAAATACCTTAAAACAGAAGTAATTTTTGCCAAACCCCACTTAGAAGGCATGAGTTTCTGAAGGAGCTGTTAGATTCAGCCCTCTGGCAGCCTTGCCTTTTCTCAACTGCTGAAGATGCAAAAGTCGCTGTTGAAAGACAAACAGAAGCTGAGAGAGACCCTCACCAGCAAGGCAAGAACCTTGAGAAATGCCACGTGTTTTCCTGTTAAAAGACTTAAGAGCTTGTTGGGGATTCAATCACAGATGGACCATGGCTGGACTGTGTTTCCACTGCCAGTCTCACTTAGGAAGCTTTGTCTCCAAGTGGGTAGGTGATGACCGAGGAGACCAGTGCTCTGAGAACACCTGAGCCCATCCATCTTTTGAGTCTTGCCACGCAAATCTTGTATGGGAAGTTTAAACCCATCTTTGTATTTCTGTGCAGGTCCTGCTAGAAAAGGAGCGTGAGAAGAATGCTTTGTTAGAGACACTACTGCAAACCCAGGGAGAGCTAAGAGACGCCTACCAGCAGGTCGAGCAGCTCAGGCAGGAGGTGAAAGAGCAGCAAGAGAACGGGCAGGTGAGCCTGACAAGTAGGGTAGGCTGAAAGAACAGGCAGTTGGCAGCTGGACGCAAGCTGAGAGAGGCTGGGAGAGCCAGGTAACAGTGTGAAGGGCAGTCACAAGGCAATAAAACACAAGTCCTGGGACTGAGGAGGGGAGATCAGCAGAGATCAGCAACTGGGAAGAAGGGTTACGGTGGAAGCAGAGCTGGGTGGTAAACCAGAAAAGCAGTGACCGAAGGAATGTGATTTTGAGACAGAAAGAGGAAAAAGCTGAACCTGACAGCAGGTCCCAGTAACATGCTTGCCATCTGTGTTTACAGAACATCACAGAAAAGCTGCAGGAAACTCAGGGTGAGATCAAGGCAGTGGAGAAGAGGCACAAGGAAGAAATCAAAACCATCAAAGAGGAAATGAATGTCTTGCTTCAGCAGAGGGATGCTCTACAAAAACAGGTGACTGAAAGTGCAGTAGTTACTCCAGTCGTCAAATAGGTGCTCTCTCCCCTTCTTGCCTTTCCGTGGCAGAGCAGGCCGAGGGGGTAGATCAAATAGGTGCTCTCTCCCCTTGCCTTTCCGTGGCAGAGCAGGCCGAGGGGGTAGTCCCTCTGACTGCCACCCCACTGTCCTCTCCATCCCAGCTGGTCTGAAGGAGACTTACTGGTCAGCTGAATCTCAGCTGTTGCCCTGGACAGATGGGCTTTTGCTTGTTTGCCAGCAACCATCAGAGTGGATTTCTGCTGGCCTGTTACTGCTAGTCTTGTTTTTTAAGGTTTATTTTCAGGTGAACGTGGGGAATCACTTATTTAAAAATCTAAGTCGGCTGCATTCGTTGTGAGTGTGGTATTCTCTCCTAGGGTGAAATGTAAAGCTGCTGTTTCCCTTTCCTCACAGTGTATGATATGGCTGACAGTGAGAAGCTGTAGTCTCTGACTGCTTTGTTATGTCTTATTTGAGGTGGAAGAGTTGACATCTCAGCTAGCAGCCTCCGAGGAGTCCCAGCAAGAGACTGGCCGCAGAGCTCAGCAAGATCTGAGTGAGGCACAAGAGCTGTCAAGGCAGAAAGTGCTGGAGGTGGCGCACCTCCAGAAGATGCTGGAGGAGAAGAGGAGTCAATGGGAGGAGGTTGAATGTCAGAACAAGGAGCTGCAAGTGTGTCTGCAAGCCTTGGAGGAGGAAAAAAGTCGATGGGAAGAAGTGAAGCATCACAACACAGAATTTCAGGCTTCATTGAAGGTCCTAGAGTGTGAAAATGCCAGGTAAATGAAGGCCTGTGAGACTCTTGGTCTTGTTTAGTGGGTTTCCTCTTGCAGATCTTTGCATATGAGTGGCTCTGGCAGTATTTCCTAAAAAGTAGAGTTCTGAGCTATCCATGTTTCATTTTCTTGCAGTTTTTCTGAAGACAATGGCTTTTTGAGAGTAGTCCTTTCCTTAAAAGGAGGTGTTCTTTTGTTAGGTTGGCATGTTAATACTGTTCAATGAAACTTTCAGGAGCACACCAAAGGAGGCAGGTGGAGCTGCAGCATAATGAGCTTAGGTAGATCCATCAGCTCTGCCTTGGGTCCAATAAATTTTAAACATTTGGGATTCGTTTCGGTCTTCCACGCTGATACCTTTGGTTGGCAGAAGCCATCTTTTAAAACCATGATTTTGAGCTCAGCCAGATTCCCCTCTCAGGCACCCAAGAAACAAGAATGTTTCTTATTGCCATCTGTTTCCTCATTCCTCCAAAATGTTCCTTGAGTCTGGAGTCTGGAGAGGCTCAAGCAGGGTCTCTGCCAGCCTCAACAGTTTCAGCTGTTAGTGGCTGCCCAAGGACTACAAGAGAGGAGAGGAAGGGTAGGTAGGCTACTTCAGCTGCTGGAGTCCTGCCAATCTGCAACACATATCTTTATTGAAGAGAAGAAATAAAAGGCAATGCACTCTTGCTTCCCCTGTGAGGGATACCCAATAGGGTATTTAGCCCATAATTCACCTTTCTTTTGTGGAAACGAGTGTAGTGGGCACATGCTTGGGTGTGATGGCCAGCCTGTCTTAGGACTGAACCAGCAGCCTAGTTCAGACAAACACCAGGAGACAAAGCCATTCTCCCCTTGGCATTGGAAGTCCTAAGAGTTTATTAAATGTTATACCGTGTAGTAATGAGTTACATGCTCTCTTTCAGGCTGACTCTGTCTCTGGAAGAGAAGGAACTGAGCCTCAGGACCCTGGAAGAAGACAACCTTGCCCAGCACAACGAGGTGTCTCGGCTTGTTTCTGCTATTCCCCAGGCCCAGCAGCTCCACTCAGAGTGCAGAAGAGAGATACCTCTTGCCCTTTTACACACATACACAGCTTCACTTTTGGGGTCGGAAAGCGTGAAAGCCAGTACAACCTTACCTTTGGGCACGGGGAAACTTCCCTTTGGCCCCTGAGCCTCCAGATAAGCTAAAAATGGGTATTTTGCTCAGTTTGAATCCTTGGGTTTGTGCCTTTTGTTTCCAGTGTGGTTTTTTTGGTTGAAGTAACTTCTCCTTCATTCCTTCCTCTACTTCCTGCTCCGCTGCCTCAGTAGCGGCACTGTCCCTGAGGCTCTGTGCATCTCTTGTAGATCCAGTCGCTGCAGGAGGTGGTGCTGGAGAAGGAGGCCAGCCTGGCAACGCGAGAGGAGCAGCTGCTGCAGGATCTGGAGGAGTCCCGAGCAGGCCAGCGGTGCCTGAGGGACTCTCTGCGCATGCTGGAGGTCGAGACGTCTGAGCTGCGCCTGAGGCTCTGTAGCACAGAGAACAGAGCAAAGGCCTTGGCCACGGAGTGTCAGCAGGCCAGCAGTGCCCACTGGGAAGCCCAGTCCCAGCTGGATGAACTGCGCTTGGTTCTCCACCACCTGATCTGCGACAGTAGAGACTTTGTCCCTTGGAGTTCAGGCAAGTGTGGGGAGCTGGGTTAATGATGCTGTAGAGCACGTATAGGAGATCCCGATGTGATAGACTCATCCTTTCAGTTGAGGCTGACTCAAGCCTTGGGCAGATGGAGGGAGGAGTGGTTCTTTGTAGTCCCGATGTGATAGACTTGTCCTTTCAGTTGAGGCTGACTCAAGCCTTGGAAAGTCTTGAAAGCCTGACCTCCCTGTAGAGAGACAAGTCCATGTTTGTACAAGGAGAAATGACCAGCACCAAAATGAAATAGGGCCCGAGTTATGTCAAGTCAATGGGGCACGTGCATTCTTCCCTGGAGCAGCGCTGACATTAGTGGTCATCAAAGTAACGTTAGCCTGTGGCACACGTCTTGCTGTCCCATGTGCTCTAGGATGATAGCAAAGGCACTGCCATCTTCTCCTGGATATAAAGAGGCCTTGTCTGTTGGAGACCCCTCACAGAATTGTAGAATTGCCGGGGTTGGAAGGGAGACCTTTCAGATCCCTTCCTACTCCAACCATCAACCTAACGCTGCCCCAACCGTCACTAAACTATATCTCTAAGCACTACAATCTACCTGTGTTTTAAATACCTGCAGGGATGACGATTCCACCACTTCCCTGGGTAGCCTGTTCCAGTGCTTGAGAGCCCTTTCAGTGTAGTTAAAGCTTGAAACAGAGTGGCTTCTCCCCTCAGAACAGGGTAATGTCTGGGACCCGACTGTTTCTCAGGCCAAGGACCTCCCTGCAGAGCTCACGGTGGACAGGGTGACAGCAGCCCTACAAGACCTGCGCCAGCACCTGAAGCAGACTCAGCAAGATCAGGTACCGTGTGCCCAGCGCATCCAGAATCCTGTGCCTCTGCCAAACTGAGCTTACGAGCAGAGTGCCAAAGCCAGAACGAGTGTAAGCTCTTGTAGGCCAGGTTGGCTTGCTGCCGAGGGGAGCAGGAGAGTCATGCTCCCATCTGCTGTTACTGTCCAGCAGCCCCCTCCTGCCTTGGCTCTTTCTGCCTTAGCATTTGTACCTCCTTGTCTCCTGCCAGCAGTGGTGGTTCACTCTCTTCTTACCTCTTCCAGAATGATGCAAGGAAGAAGATACAGGACTTGGAGCTGGAGCTGAGTGAGAGGCAAGCTGAGAGGGACCATTTCAGTGCCCACAATCAGGAGCTGCAGAAACAGTTGGCTCAAAGCCAGGAAGGTACAGCTGCTTCTTTCCACCCAACCAGTGTCTCACTAGTGCAGATCTCTGATACCACACAGAGGAAAAGTGCAGTGCCCAGAGGTGGGAAGAGGAGGGAAAACAAGCAGCATGAGATTTAGTGACAGAACTACCAGGGAAAGCTTTTGATAAGAGGAAGATCCAGTGCATCTGCCTGTGCTACTGGTGATGCCTTTCAGGTCACGTGTCACTGCTGAGTAGGTGTGGCTTGATGCCTCACAGCATCCTTCTCCCTATGCTCTTTATTGATTTTCTTTTCCTCTTACATGGCAGATTCCCAGAGCGTTAGTTCAGTGTTAAGCTCTTGTGTTGTTGCGTCCTTTCTCCTGCTGCTTTTCCTTCTCCTCTGGTACCTAGTGCTTCTGAATTCTTCTTACCTGCTTTCTTACCAATACTGATTTGGTGTCTGAGCTCACAGCCATAGCAAACACCATTTCTAACTTCCCTGGCCACTTCTTACTTAGGCCTTTGGTAACACGTTCACATTGGGTTTATCTGTAAACTGCTTTTCATGTGTAACTGGGCACCACTTCCTCGAAGCTCCAGGCCATCCCAGTGCCTCCAGGGCTATTAGCCTCCCTGTATCATAGCTGGACAGGCATCTCTGCTTCTTTTTCTGTCATGGCTTTCCCGCTCTCCGCTTCAGAATTGTTTTTTCATCTCATTGTCTCGTTTTCCTTGTCTCAGACTACAGGAAGAGCAGAGCGTGGGCAATGCTCACTGCCTCCCCCACGGGCACGTGCAGTGCCTTTACCTGTTCAGTGTTTCTTCACGTTCCCTCTCTGAGATGGAACAGCTAATCATTTTTCAGACTCTTTACAGAAGAGTTTTCCAGGCCTTAGATGATTATCTTTTCTGGAACATTCATAGTTTTTACTACATGTGTCACATGATAACAGCTTATATACTTTACATTCTGCCACTGGATGGATCCTGCTTGTCCCACTAGTCGGTTCTTTCTGTCTCTAGTTTCCGTCCTCAAGTTCAGTCTCTTAGTTTAATTTTAGTTAGCAGAAGAACAAACATATTTTCATATTCTTCTGAGCCTCGCTGCTTTCATTCTCTTTTTTTTCCCTGCATGGAAGTTTCCTTTATTTATGTCCGATTTGAAAGCCCTTGTGGGTTTAGGGCCTGGGAAACACAGACAGGCAGATGAGAGGATGTTTTCTCTGTAGGATGCAAATTCCTTTGGTTTTGCTTTGCTTTTAACTTTCACCTTCTCCTTTTCTGCTGCAGAGATCCAGGTGGCAGAACGCAAGAGGAACTCTCAACAAGCTGTCCTGCAGGAAGAGGCTGCTGCTCTAAAGGAGAAAGTTGTAGCTCTACATCAAGAGGTGGCAGCTTTGGAACAGAAGCTTGAGAGCACTGAGAAGCAAAGGAAGGATGTCCTGGTGAGGCTGGCAGATGCCAGGAACGGCCATTTCTCTCATATTTTTTTAGCCTTCTGCAAATAATTCTAAGGAGCAACTTTTTTCCAGCAGAGAGCTGATTTGGGGTGATCTTGTACAGGTTCAGTCCAAGTCTGAGAAGATCGAGTGTACACAAATGCTGACCAAGCTTCTTTCATCTTCCTCTTCCTTCCACTCATCATTCCTTGTTTCCCAGACTTTCACTTTCCTGCCAGGCCCTGTAGCTGAACGAGCAGGGTCACCACCTTGAGTAAGAGAAGACAGTCCACAAAGGAAACATCATGAAGATGACCAATAGCACAGACTGTGGGGAGACCACAGACTGCTACAAGAGCAGAAGAATATTGCTTATACCAGTGGTATAACCTTATATATATAACCAGTGGCATAACTTTTTTATTTATGTTATAAAAAGGTAAACAAAGTGTTCTCTCTCTTCCCTTCCTCCCTAACAGAGAGAACATCATCACACCACTGCCTTAATCATGCTTAGTCTGGACTTTAGATCCTGGCTGTGGTTCTGGCGGCTCCTCCCCAGTACAACACCCTAGAGCTAGAAGAGGTTCAGAGAAGGGCAAAAAGGAAGATGGGACTGGCTGAGAGAGTTGGAAAAGATGCTTCCTAAAGGGTCGTGCAGGAAAGGTCTACACCATCCTGACAGGCAGGGAGCGAGGGGGCAGCCGGCATTCCCGCTCCTTTCCAAGAGCTGACCCAGAGCTGTCTGATGGGGCAGCAGATGGCAGGAGGTGGAACACTTCCAGCAAAGCAGACCTGGGGAACTCCTTGAAAAAGGGTGTTGGGTCTGGGTGGGCTCAGGAGGAGACTGAAGGTTCTCACAAGCTGGAACAGTGCTGGGCTTGGGGAGGTATCATCTAAGTCTGCCCCACTCTTGGGCTTTCTTCCCCAGGTATGCACTTACAGGTACCGTGACATAGAGGAGACCAGCACAGATGTTTGAGGCAGTGCAGCTGGTTTTACATGATCAATACTTGCCCACTTCCCCATTTACAGTGACTCCAAAAATCAGTTACAGACAGAGATTGATAAATACAGTACAGTTCCCAAATCTTTAGTGAGAGACAGGAGAAAATTTACATTTTTCAGAGAAGTAAAAGAGAGCATCTGTGGATCATTTCAGTGGCCAGTCTGGCCCAAAGCATGACAACATCCAACAGAGAAGACAACTGAATAACTCCAATTTTCTCCTAAAAGCTCAGACTTCAGCCCTTGCCCACTACTGGAGCAGGAGCTCAAATTTAGCATGAAACCCAGACACACACACACACATATATATATGTATGTGTATATATATGGAATTATTGAATCTTTTCCTCCCTGTTTTGCACCCAGACACACACACACACATATATATATGTATGCGTATATATATGGAATTATTGAATCTTTTCCTCCCTGTTTTGCAGCATGAACGGGACAGACTGCAAGCAGCTAAAGAAAAACTGGTATGGGAGGTAAAACTTCTTCAGGAATCAGTCACAGCCTCTGAAACCCGAGCAAATACAGCAACAGATACGAATCACTCCCTCGCACAAGAACTCCAAACTACACTGTCCATCTTAAAAACGAAAAATGAGGAAGTGGAAATACAGTGGGAGAAAATCCAGATGCTCCAGAAAGAGGCAGCAGAGGTGAAAGCTTTGCAGGAGAATCTCACTCATGTGACTGCCATCCTATCAGAGCGGGAGGGAGAAATGAAGTTGTACCAGGAAAAGATGAGAATGATGGAAAAGCAGAAAGAAATGCATAAAACTACTCTTGATGAGATTATGAAGGAAATAACAGAGAAAAAAGAGAAGACAGAATCCCAGCAAGAACAGATACAGGAGCTGGAAAAGCAGCAAGAAAAACAAAGGATTGCTGTAAGCAAGATGAACAAAGAGCTGGAGGAGAGGGACCAGGAGGTCAAATCCCAGCAAGAACAGATACAGGAGCTGGAGAAGCAGCAAGAATTGAAGAGGACCATGATGAACAAGATGAGCAAGGAGCTGGAGGAGAGAGACCAGGAGGTCAGATCCCAGCAAGAACTCATACAGGAGCTGGAGAGGCAGCGAGAGATGCAGAGGACCATGGTGAGCAAAATGAGGACGGAGCTGGAAGAGAGAGACCTGGAGGTCAGATCCCAGCAAGAAGAGATACAGGAGCTGGAGAGTCAGCAAGAGATGCAGAGGACTGCAGTGAGCAAGATGAGCAAAGAGCTGGAGGAGAGAGACCAGAAGGTCAGATCTCAACAAGAACAGATAAAGGAGCTGGAGAAGCAGCAAGAAAAACAAAGGATTGCCATAAGCAAAATGAACAACAAGGTGGAGGAGAGAGACCAGAAGATCAGATCCCAGCAAGAATTTATAGGGGAGCTGGAGAAACAGAAGGAATTGCAGATGGCTGCTGTCAACAAGATGAGCAAGGAACTGGAGGAGAGAGACCAGCAGGTCAGATCTCAGGAGGAACTGATATGGAAGCTGGAGAAGCAGCAAGAGGTGCAGAGGACTGCGGTGAGCAAATTGAACAAAGAGCTGGAGAAGAGAGACCAGGAGGTCAGATCTCAGCAAGAACAGATACAGGAGCTGGAGAAGCAGCAAGAAAAACAAAGGATTGCTGTAAGCAAGATGAACAAAGAGCTGGAGGAGAAAGACCAGGAGATCAAATTCCAGGAAGGGAAAATAACGATTCTAGAACAACACGGTACATCACAAGTCAGAAACCTGCTTGTGGATCTTGATCATATGAAAGGAAACTTGAAGGAGCAACACTTAGAGCTTATGTCTCTGACTCAGCAGATCCAAGAACTGGAAAAGGAGAGAGAAGAGGCGAAATCTCTGCAGGCAAGCCTGGAACACCTGAGGGCAGCTCTGAAGGACAGAGAGAGTGAGTGTGATTTTCAAAGGGAGCAGTTCAGACTCTTGCAGCAGTCCAGCGAACAGCAAGAGGGGCACCTGCAAGAGCTTCGTGGTAAGGTAGAAAAGATGACACTTTCTTTATCTAAAAAAGATCAAGAACTTGAATCACAAAAGCAGCAAATCCAGGAAGCTGAAGAAGTCATGGAGACGCAGTTAAGGACTGTCCATGACCAACTGGAGCAGGCCTTGGAAACCTTAAAAGAAAAGGAGGTGCTCATAGACATCCAAAAGCAACAAATATGGAACTATGAGGAAAAAACAGAACAGATGAATGTCCTACGCAGAGACTTAGACTACACTAAGGCCATACTGAAGGAAAAGGAATTCACGATTGAATCTCAGAAGGAAATGATTGAGACCTTCCAAAAACAAGAACAAGACTCTGAACAGCACAAGGAAATTCTGCAGCAGCTTCAAGTGGCACTGAAGGAAAGGGAGCAAGAAATTATAGCCCTTAGAAAGCAATGTGAGGCATGCAAAGAAAAGGAGGAAAAGCATAAAGCAGAGCAGACAAATCTTAAAGCAACAAAACTGACTCTGAAAGAAAGAGAAGAAAAGGTAGGTGTTCTGGAGGAGGCTATCTCCAAGCTTCAACAGCAAAAGGAGGAGGTGGAGATGCAGACTAAAGTCATACTGCAAAAACTAGAACATGCCGAGTCCTCTCTAGAAGTGAGAGACCAAGAGATAGTGTGTTTGCAAGCGCGTGTCCAGGAGCTTCAAGAGCAGAAGGAGTTGGAAGGCAAGCAGGCCAAGAGTCTACAGCAGGATCTGGACAAAATGAACCAAATAGTGAAGGAGAACCATTTGGCGTTCCTCCAGCAGACAGAGCAAATGAACATGTTCCAGCTTCGTGATGAAGGCATGAAAGTAGAACTAACATTGTGCCAGAAACAAGTGAATCTGCTTGAGGAAGCGGTGAGGAAGAGAGATGAAGACAATGAAACTCTTCTGCAAAAACTCCAGCACCAAGAAGAAGAACTGAAGACCTTGCAGAACCTCCAGCTTAGGCTAACAGAGAAGAAAGAAGAGGTTAGCCACCACAGAGAGCAAGAGAAGCTCCTGGAAGAAGCCTTGCCTGAGAGGGAACAGGAGACCAAGGCTCAAGGTGAGCAAAAAGAGATAGAAGAGGAGATAAGAGGTCTCCGGGAAGATCTCCAGCATGTTCAGCAGACTCTGACCAAGAAGGATGAAGAGATCAGATCTCAGAGAGACAGAGTCAGCTCTTTAGAGAAGACTCTGAGAGGGAGAGAACAAGAGCTCAGGAGGCAAAGTGAGCTCCTCAAACAATTAACATCAGCTTTGCGATGGAAAGATGATACAGAGACTCTCAAGAAGCAAATTCAGAAACTCCAAAAATGGGAGGAAGAGGAGGAGGAGAAGAGGAAAGTTCTCCAGGAGAAAGACCGTCTCTTGCAAAGGCAGAAGGAGTTGACCCAACAACTGGAAGATGAGCGGAAAGCAAAGAGGGAAGAAATGGAGCATGTGGTTGCTATTTTGAAGCACACTGAAAGCGGAGAAATCGAATGGAAACAGAAGGCACAAACACTGACTCTTGCCCTCACCAAGAGTGAAACAGCCAATGGGACTCTGAGGGAAGAAATCGCCATCCTGCAGAGTATGGTTTCAGAGAGGGACAAGGACCGGTTCCATCTTCAGGTAGGTGCTGTGAGCAATTATCTGCCAACTAAAATTAACTCCAGTCCAAAAGTTGGGGTGGGTGGGTGGTTGGTTCTCTCCTATCCAGGCAAGGTTAACCAATGTGTTGTGGTTAGGATTTGGCACGGAAAGGAAAGGGCACAGTTGACCAAACTAATCTCCTAAACACAGTAGGGGTTTGTGAGGAGAGCAACGACGCTGATGATGCTTAGAGGATGCTTTCAGAGATGAAGATTTCTCAGGCCAGCTTTTAGAATCATAGAATCATAGAATTGCCCAGGCCGGAAGGGACCTCCAAAGGCCATCTAGTCCCACCCCCCCGCAGTCAGCAGGGACACCCCCAACTAGACCAGGTTGCCCAGGGCCTCATCGAGCCTCTCCTTGAATATCTCCAGGGAAGGGGCCTCAACCACCTCCCTGGGCAACCTGTCCCAGTGCTCCACCACCCTCACAGTGAAGAACCCTCTCCTCATCTCCAGTCTAAATCTGTTCCCCTCCAGCTTGAAGCCATTGCCCCTCGTCCTGTCACTACAGGCCTTTCTAAACAGGCTCTCCCCAGCCTTCCTGTAGGCTCCCTTCAGGTACTGGAAGGCTGCTATTAGGTCTCCCCGGAGCCTCCTCTTCTCCAGGCTGAACAACCCCAGCTCCCTCAGCCTGTCCTCGGAGCAGAGGTGCTCCATCCCCCTGATCATCCTTGTGGCCCTCCTCTGGACCCTCTCCATCAGGTCCATGTCCTTCTTTTCCATGGGATTAGAGAGAATGGAATCTACTGGATAAGGGAGGTAACATAGTGACCAAAGATGAGGAGAAGGCTGAAGTCCTAAATGCCTTCTTTGCCTCAGTCTTCAGTAGTAGGACAGGGGGTTCCCTAAATATCCAGACCCCTAAACTAGCAGACAGGGGCGGGGAGCAGAGCGAAGCCCCTGCAATTCAAAGGGAGATGGTGAGGGACCTGCTCCAACACCTAGATGCAAACAAGTCTATGGGACCAGATGAGATCCACCCGAGGGTGCTGAGGGAACTGGCAGAAGTGCTTGCGGAGCCACTCTCCATCATTTACCAGCAGTCCTGGCAA